TTTAAGATGGGAACCACATCAGCTCTTTTCCAATCCTCTGGTAGTTCCCTGGTGCTCCAGATCTCTGAAAGATATAGTTCAGTGGTTCTGTGATCTTGTCTGCCAGTTCCTTCAGAACCCTGGGAAGTAATCCATCCGGTCCTGGTGATTTGAACTCATCTAGGGTAGACAGGTGCTCACTTACCATTTTCTTCCCTATTTCAATTTGTGTTCCTAATTTTATTTTTGTGGTGCTGCTTTTGATAGGTTGGACTGTTGTTTTTTTTCTTTTTGTGTAAAGACAGATGCAACAAATGAGTTAAATAGTTCTGCTTTCTCCCTGTTGCTTGTCACCTTCTTGCCACTTTCTCCCAGCAATGGACCAATTGTTTCCTTATCTTTTTTCTTGTTTTGAACATGTTGGAAGAAGCTTTTTAAAATTATTTTTTACTTTTGTAGCAAGCCTTTCTTCATTGTGAGCCTTAGCTTTCCTTACTTCATCTTTATAGGCTTGGGCTATTTGCTGATAGTCTGCCTTAGTTATGCCCCCCCCCCTTCCACTTTTTATACTTAACTTTTTTAGTCTTTCAATTTGTCAGAAAGTTATTTATGCTTTGGTTATGGTTAGAGTGCAGTACTGCAGATTACTTCTCTGCTGACTGCCAGCTGACTGCAATTTGGCAGATTGAATCTCACCAGGCTCAAGGTTGACTCACCCTTCCATCCTTCCAAATGGATAAAATGGGAACCCAGATTGTTGGGGGCTCTGTAAACTGCTTAGAGAGGGCTATAAAGCATTTTAAAGTGGTATATAAGTCTAAGTGCTATCGTTATGGATGGGCCAAGCATTGTTCCACAGCTTCCATACATAGCACGCATTTATTGCAGCCAAACAATTTTGTGACTTGATACATTTTATCTCTCGGAACAAAATGTTACAGCATAGGCTTCTATTTGTATGCAGAGCATGCCCTTTCTATGGTCCTCCATTTTCTGGGTTAAGGAGGGAGGGCATGGAGACATTGTTTAAAAGATGACTGCAATAAATCTATTTAATGAATGTTTAATGGGGGCTAGTTACCCAAGAATGGGTGGCTTCATTGACAGGTTGATTAAAGCACAATGCAAATAACCACAAACGCTCCTATGCCAATTAGACTGTAAGGATCCAATCTCAGTTAAATTGTGTAAAAGTAATTCAAAAGTTAAAAACGATCAAAGGTTGTAATAAATGGAGACAAAGCACCAAGATAGTTGGTTGCTCCCTTTTGTTGTGCATTCATATTTTGTTCCATTTCTCCTTAGCTTTGTTTAACATTCACCAACAGATTTATGTCACTTCTTTTCTTAAGTATACTTAATTAGTTACTGATGTGTAGAGACATTGCAAAGCCCAGCTGGTTTGCTGCCAACAAAATCAGGCATCTTCATTTGTTTATTTATAGAATCCATCCAGGATTCTCCTTTTGGGTTGGATCGAGCTCTCATCAGGCTTAGCATATACTCATTGAAAGCAACGTGATACAATTTTCCCAAGTTCATTTGCCTTCAATGCAGGGGTGAAATGCTACCAGTTCAGACTTGTTTGCCTGAACCGGTAGTAAAAATGCATCTGGTTCGCCTGAACCGGTAGTAAAAATGCAACTGGTTCGCCTGAACCAGTAGTAAAAAAAATGCTACCAGTTCTGGTGAACCGGTGTTTCTGACGATTAGCTGTGACGTGCAATTTATATTAGCTAGAAAGCAGGATTTCCTGCTGTTCGCTTACCTTTGCAAGCGTGCTCGGTAGCAGGCTCCGCCCACCTGCCCAGACATCATCATGTGAGTTTTTGATGCTCTGCGCATGTGCGGAAGGTCCTGTGGAGGGCGCACGTGCGTGCTCACGTTGCTATCGAACCAGTAGCAAAGGTAAGTTGATTTCACGTCTGTTTCAATGCGTCATCTGCTAGCAATAACCAACCTAGATCTGACTTCAAAACAGGCCATTGGGCTAATGCATGTGCATTGAGCCATATTGGTTGTTTACTACACAAAAACAATTGGGCCCGTTCAGTATCTATGTCAAGGTTTTATAGATTAAGCAGCTTTAGGATGTGTGGACTTCAACTCCCAGAATTCCCCAGCCAGCATATCTCTAAGAGGTTGCCAAGATGGTAATGGCACCATCTGTGCTTTTTTCAGGATATGAATGCACAAATAAGAGCATCACTCATATGTATCTTTAAAAAAAAAAGAAGTTGTGGAGTTTGTTTGTTTCATCAGTTACATACCATCCCATAACATAGTTTTGGATGACTTATGATGAGTAAGTCTAAAAGCAGCTGAGAGATAGATTAGTTGGAGGAAGCTTGAATGAAGTGAAAAGTGGGTACTTTGTGAAGTCCGGACAAAACCTTGCAAAGCATAGTCAAGGGGCTATCATAAAGGAGAGGTGGTCAATCTATATAGCCCAAGACAGAAGCCCAAGTTACCCTACTGCATTCCTCCTCCATGTGGGCATAGATCAGGGGCCGGCAACCCATGGCTCTGGAGCCGCATGTGGTTCTTTCCTCCTTCTGCTGTGGCTCCCTGTCACTGGTCGATGCCATCATTTTGAGACGAGCTTCCGGTTAGGGGGGAAGCACACTGCACCAGGAGGAGACTCTATGGCAAAGGGCAGGTTTTCCGGTCTGCTCCACAATTGATAGGGCTTTTGGTTAGGACAGACAGGAGGGGGGGGGAGGATGCCACGCTAGGAGCAATATAGCAGTGGACTTATATACCGCTTCATAGGCCTTTCAGGTCTCTCTAAGCGGTTTACAGAGAGTCAGCATATTGCCCCCAACAATCTGGGTCCTCATTTTACCCACCTCGGAAGGATGGAAGGCTGAGTCAACCCTGAGCCGGTGAGATTTGAA